TTAGAAGATGTTTCATGCTAAACATCTAAGGTCTAGCTCGCCGAGTTTTTTAAAAAAAAAACATTTTTAAGTTTTAACAATACACACATAGTTAAAAGCAATGACACCCCGGGGCGGGGCCAGTTTTGACCCAAGGGCTTTTATTTGAACAACTTTGAAGACACTCACTAGAAGATGTTTCTTGCTTAATATCTAAACTCTAGCTATTTGGGGTTTTTTTCAAAGAAGATTTTTCTAAGTTTTTGCTATACACATAAATAAAATCAATGACCCCCAGGGCGGGGCCAATTTTGACCCAAGGGCTTTTATTTGAACAAACTTTGTAGACACTCACTAGAAGTTTTTGCTATACACATAAATAAAATCAATGACCCCCCAGGGCGGGGCCAATTTTGACCCAAGGGCTTTTATTTGAACAAACTTTGTAGACACTCACTAGAAGATGTTTCATGCTTAGTATCTAAACTCTAGCTATTTGGGTTTTTCAAAGAAGATTTTTTTTAAAGTTTTTGCTAATTTACACATATAAGGAAAATCAATGACCCCCGGGGCAGGGCCAATTTTGACCCCAGGGCTCTTATTTGAAAAATTTGGTACACACACATTAGAAGATGTTTCATGCTAAATATCTTAGCTCTAGCTCTTTGGGTTCTTTAAAAGAAGATTTTTTAAGTTTTTACTATATGCATATAGGGAAAATCAATGACTCCCTGGGGCGGGGCCAATTTTGACCCCAGGGCTTTTATTTGAACAAACTTGATAGACACTCATTAGATGATGTTTCATGCTAAATATCTTAGCTCTAGCTCTTTGGGTTCTTTAAAAGAAGCATTTTTAAGTTTTTACTATATGCATATAGGGAAAATCAATGACCCCCTGGGGCGGGGCCAACTTTGACCCAAGGGCTTTTATTTGAACAAACTTGCTAGACACTTATTAGAAGATGTTTCATGCTAAATATCTTAGCTCTAGCTCTTTGGGTTCTTTAAAAGAAGATTTTTTAAGTTTTTACTATAGGCATATAGGGAAAATCAATGACCCCCTGGGGCGGGGTCAATTTTGACCCAAGGGCTTTTATTTGAACAAACTTGGTAGACACCCATTAGAAAATGCTTCATGCTAAATATCTTAGCTCTAGCTCTTTGGGTTCTATAAAAGAAGATTTTATAAGTTTTTATTATATGCATATAGGGAAAATCAATGACCCCCTGGGGCTGGGCCAATTTTCACCCCAGGGCTTTTATTTGAACAAACTTGGTAGTCACCCATTAGAAGATGTTTCATGCTAAATATCTTAGCTCTAGGTCTTTGGGTTCTTTAAAAGAAGATTTTATAAGTTTTTACTATATGCATATAGGGAAAATCAATGACCCCCTGGGGCGGGGCTAATTTTGACCCCAGGGCTTTTATTTGAACAAACTTGATAGACACTCATTAGAAGATGTTTCATGCTTAATATCTTAGCTCTAGCTCTTTGGGTTCTTTAAAAGAAGATTTTTAAGCTTTTACTATATGCATATAGGGAAAATCAATGACCCCCGGGGCGGGGCCAATTTTGACCCCAGGGCTTTTATTTGAACAAACTTGATAGACACTCATTAGAAGATGTTTCATGCTTAATATCTTAGCTCTAGCTCTTTGGGTTCTTTAAAAGAAGATTTTTAAGTTTTTACTATATGCATATAGGGAAAATCAATGACCCCCGGGGCGGGGCCAATTTTGACCCCAGGGCTTTTATTTGAACAAACTTGATAAACACTCATTACAAGATGTTTCATGCTAAATATCTTAGCTCTAGCTCCTTGGGTTCTTTAAAAGAAGATTTTTAAGTTTTTACTATATGCATATAGGGAAAATCAATGACCCCCGGGGCGGGGCCAATTTTGACCCCAGGGCTTTTATTTGAACAAACTTGATAAACACTCATTACAAGATGTTTCATGCTAAATATCTTAGCTCTAGCTCCTTAGGTTCTTTAAAAGAAGATTTTTAAGTTTTTACTATATGCATATAGGGAAAATCAATGACCCCCGGGGCGGGGCCAATTTTGATCCCAGGACTTTTATTTGAACAAACTTGATAGACACTCACTAGAAGATGTTTCATGCCAAATATCTAAGCTCTACCTCTTTGTGTTTTTAAAGAAGATATTTTAAGTTTTTTCTATCGGTTGCCATGGCAACCATAGTTCTGCATGGAATTAAATTCTTTCAACAATTTTTAAAGGTGACCACCAAAGGAACATTCATGTGAAGTTTGGATGAAATTGCCTCAGTGGTTTATGAGGAGATGTCATTTAAAGTAAAAGTTTACGGACGACGGATGACGGACAGACGGACGACGGACGGAAGCTGGAAGAAAAGCGATCACAAAAGCTCACTCTGTCACTTTGTGACAGGTGAGCTAAAAAGTTATGATCCAGGTACAAGTTTGCGGACGGCAAGGCCGCCGCCACTATAGCAATACCTCTACTTTTTTTTATTTCAAAAAAAAAAGTCGAGCTAAAAATCATTGAACGGAAAATGCTGACAATATGCACAACTAGACTTGGTACTAATCATTGCTGTAAAGATTGGATGAAATTGCACCAGAAGTTTATGTGGAGTAGTCCAGGCAAGTTTTGCAACAAAGGGACAGACAGACGGACTCTTTAGAAGTGATCCATATTATGATGTTGCCACTACTCCGTTGGCTGTATAAGTAACTGTGAAGAAATCTATTATTGGCACCCTAGACCCACTTCCTCAATCAAATATTAAATATCATGCAAGTTATCTTTTTACCAAATATGAAATACATCTGTCAATAACTAGAACTATCACTTAATGTGATTAATACCCCCATAAGACTGCTTCAAAAATGAGGAAGTTACAAGTAACAGAATACCTTGTTAAAGAATTGAAATAAAGTTATGGTTGTGGGCAATTAAAGATAGTTCTGGTTTTTGTATGCTGCATTTCCTTACAATATGGTTGACCATTGATGAAGTTTTATTAAATTACTCTATAATATATCCAGAAAGAGTTATGCTTCTTTAGCACTGCACTTCCTCTCATTGGGCTTGACCATTGTATGAAGTTGCATTGAATTCTAACAATAGTTTTAAATTATGCACCGGACAAGGAAAAGGAACAAAGGGCAATAACTCTACAAATACTGAAGATGGAGTTATGGTTATTGTACACTGCACTTCCTCTCATTTCGCTTGACCATTGTAAGAAGTTGGATTGAATTCCAACTACTAGTTTTCAAGTTATGCACTGGACAAAAAAGTAACAAAGGGCAATAACTGTAATGAGTCAAAATAGAGTTATGCTTCTTCTACACTGCACTTCATCTCACTGCCCTTGATCATTGTATGAAGTTTTATTGAATTCCAAACATAAAATTTCAAGTTATGCACTGGACATTTAAAAGTAACAAAGGGCAAAAACTCTTAAATGAGTCAAGAAAGAGTTATGGTTTCTGTGCACTCACGCTTCCTCTCAATATACTTGACCATTGTATGAAATTGTATTGAATTCCAAATACTACTTTTCAAAAAAAAAAAAAAAAAAAAGGAAAAGTAACAAAGGGCAGTAACTCACTAATTACTCTAGACAGAGTTATGGTTCTTGTGCACTGCACTTCCTCTTAATGTGCTTGATGATTGTATGAAGTTGTATTGAATTCCAACTAGTAGTTTTCAAGTTATGCTCCGGACAAGGAAAAGTAACAAAGGGCAATAACTCTGTAATTAGTCAAGATGGAGTTATGGTTCTTGTGCACTGCACTTCCTCTCAATGTGCTTGATCATTATGTTGTATTGAATTCCAACCATTAGTCTTCCAATTATGCTCCGGACAAAAATAAGCAATGGAAAAGTAACAAAGGGCAATAACTCTGTAATTACTTTAGATAGTTATGGTTCTTGTGTTCTGCACTTCCTCTTATTGTGCTTGACCATTGTATGAAGTTGTTTTGAATTCCAACCAGTAGTTTTCAAGTTATGCTCCGGACAAGGAAAAGTAACAAAGGGCAATAACTCTATAATGAGTCATGATGGAGTTATGGTTCTTGTGCTCTGCGCTTCCTCTCAATGTGTTTGACCCTTGTATGAAGTTATATTGAATTCCAACTATAAGTCTTCAAGTTATTGTCCGGACAAAAGAAAGCAATGGAAAAGTAACAAAGGGCAAGAACTCTGAAATTACTTTAGATAGCGTTATGATTCTTGTGCACTGCACTTCCCCTTATCATGCTTGACTATTGTATGAAGTTGTTTTGAATTCCAACCAGTAGTTTTCAAGTTATGCTCAGGACAAGGAAAAGTAACAAAGGGCAATAACTCTGTAATAAGTGAAGATAGAGTTATGGTTCTTGTGCACTGCACTTCCTCTCAATGTGCTTGACCATTGTATAAAGTTGTATTGAATTTCAACCATTAGACTTCAAGTTATGCTCCGGACAAGGAAAATACAACGGACATCTGGACAGACCAACCAACCAACCGACCACCGGGTGACTCCTATATACCCCCCCCCCCCCAAACGTATAATTATACCCCCCCCCCCCCCCCCAAAAAAAAATGTATCTCGAAATGTCTCGAAACAAATAATAACCGAAACTTGTCATTGTTAGTTAGTGTGGTGCTGTACCGTCTAGGTCAGTACAACAAATCAAGCCTTGACTTTAATTAAAGACTTCAGTCTTAAAGAAAACACTTTCAAGTGTTAATTTAAATCAACTGTTTCTATCAATTTATTTATAACTGCATAAAGCTGTACTAATCATAAATAGGAATCTTTACTTAGAAATTATTTAATAAACTTTTCATTCATAGATATATTATATTCATAATTGGGACTTGATTTATTTAAATTTACTTAGTTGTTATTTGTATCCCAACAACAAATCCACAGAATACATGTTCCTTATTACGGCCAAATTGTGATCGCTATATGTACGAATAAATCTTATTTAAAACTGCCACTATTACAATTGTATCAGACTGTACTTACTATACAAACCAGGGAAAACCAAAAACTTGGTGCATAGGCAACTCCAAATAAACCTGAAAAAGAAAGTTAAAATTTTAAACAAGGGCTGCCACCATCTCCATGACACAGGATTTTATGTAGTTTCATTATAAATTTTTAGACTAATTATATACATTATTACATATACCCTGAACAGACTTTTATTTCTTTAGGAACTTTTGTTGAAATTTATCCAGAACTTTATTTTGTTGGTAATTGCAACCATACATTTTGCTATATGTTATCCATTAATTGCTTTTCAATCGCCAATATTGTTATGCATTTCTATCAAACAGTAAGCCTCAAACTTACAAAATACTAAGTGGTCGTTTAGGACTTAAATTGTTCAGTGTATATTATATATATTACAGTGCATGTTTAATTAAAGTAACAGTGCTCTTATAAGCAAAATATAAATGATGACGCAGCCAATGAGATGGTAATCAATTACTGCTTTTCTGAAATACAAAAACTGACACTCACTGATGTGCAAATTCAAGGCAATGGCTTCAAACATGCATATTGACAGGAAAGTATGTATTTAACACGATACAATAAAATAACTGAAAAATTACCAAATTTCACCAAATCTAACTATATCACTGGGGGCTCCATTGTAATTTTGTTTAATTTTTTTAAAGGCAAGCGATATAATACAATAAAGATGTTGTTTTTAGGTTTGATTATATGTTGTGGCTTAAAAACTGATGTTTACATAACATATATAGTTTATTATAATTACAAGTATAAGTACGAGGGCTGTTCAACATAATAATGAGACTGTCCTCATAAATTTTTATTCTTACATGAAATACAACAAAATGTGGTATCATTATTAAATATAACTTATTCTTGATCAGCTTATTCTGCATAGTGGTAGAAAAATTATTGACATAGAATTTAGTATGATCATTTCAAAATTCGTAGTAACACGTTATCGCCCCGTCTGTTCTGTCTTATAAAGACGTAACTTATAATATAAAGTAAAGTAAGAAACAAGAAACAATTTTGCAATAATGTAAAACCCTGCCAATTGTTTGAACGTTATATCAGTGACGTCATGTGAAACAAGAGCTGTCACAGGAGACAGCGAAGCTCGACTAATTAAATACTGGACTCAGTAAGGAAGACTAAAGTATGAAAGAAAATTCAATTATAATATAAATATATTTCTTCTTATGACAAAAAGTTATAGTTATTAACTTAAATTCCATTTTCAAAGGAGAATTATTTTGGAAATAGTCACACTATAGTTATGGACCTTGTCACACAACATGTGTGTAATGATAAGAAATATATATTTGAAGTTTGAAGTAGATACCTTAAAAAGTAAAGAAGTTATAATATTTCTTAACCTTTTACCACATGAGCATATTGTGAACAAGAGCCACCGCCTGGCGGGGGCAACGCTCCATTTTTTACTTTTTCTAAAAGCAAACAAAGAAATGTTTGAACAAATCTTAACGTTTCCTTTTTTATAAATTTAAACCCTCTGTCTTGTCACATATGGTCCAAATATAAAAGCCCTTAAGGCCTGGTGGTTTTCAAAGATTTTTTAAGTTTTTACTATGTACATATAATGAAAACAACTGATCCCTGGGTCAGGGCCAATTTCGAGCCCAGCCTGAGGGACATTTGAACAATTTTTGTAGTGTGTCAATACTCAATAATACTTACTAAATATCAGAGCCCTATGTCTGATGGTTTCAGAGAAGAGATTTTTTAAGTTTTTACTATATAAACAACAGTTTTCTGCTCCCTGGGGAAGGGCTTATGTTGAACCCAGAAGCAAAATTTGAACACTCTTTGTAGAGGACAACTACACTGAGAGGATGTTCTAACTAGACCTTTGGTTAATCAGCTATATTTTTTTAATGTATTGATCAATTTAGGTTATATTTCGGATATTTATTACTACACATAAGATGCATACTTCTGTAGAATTTTATTCAAATCACATTTCGATAAAATGTCAAACTTAACAGAAAAAAACAGTCTTATAAAAAGTCAAAGTCGCAAAATGGCGGCAAAATAACAATGTGAAAAGTCACTCAACAATATCACTTAACTGTCCTGGTAAAACTCTCTGGTTTAATATTTGGTGTGACCACCTCTAGCTCTCAGTAAGTGAGCACATCGTTGTCTCATCGACATAACATAGTTTGAAATAGTCTGCTGAGGAATGTTGGCCCATTCTTGGATCAGCATCTGTCCCGAACACGGCAGCCAAGTTCATCCCACAAATGCTCAATGGGGTTCATGTCCGGGGATGTAGACGGCCATGGAAGAACTCTCACTTGTTGCTGTCGTAGAAGCCTCTCCGTGGTCGCAGCTGTGTGCGGGGTCGCCCCATCCTGCATCAGAACCATACCTCGCCCACCGGCACGCAGGTGAGGAATGGCCTCCGGAATCAGAATCTCCTGTTGATATCTCAAAGCGTTGAGATTACCACGGATGACTACGAGGTTGGTCTTAGTATGAAAGGAAATCCCAGCCCAAACCATCACCGATCCCCCACCGTAGTGGTCACGCTCGTGAACGCAGCTGTCGTTCAAACGCTCGCCTCGACGCCTATAGACGCGTATCCTTCCGTCACTGTTTTTCAAGTTGAAACGGCTTTCGTCTGTGAATAAGACGTTGGCCCATTCAGCACGAGTCATTCTCTGGTGACGGCGGGCCCATTGCTCACGTCTTCGGCGATGTACGTCGGTAAGTACAAGGCTACGAAACGACCTCCTTACTCTTATACCATGATCACGGAGGCGGTTAAGTACCGTTTTCTGGCTTATTGATCTGTTATGAGTGCCTATCGTCTGCCTGGCGGTTGAAGCTGCAGTTCTAAAACGGTTGTTAAGGTGATCAGCAACAATCTGTGCATCTTGTGCTGGAGTTGTCACTTTTCTGCGAGGTTGCCTGCGCTCATCTTCAACACGACATGTGCGCTGGAACTTGGTGAAGAGGTTGGTGATTGTAGAGACATGCCTGCCAAAAATTCGAGCAAACTGCAGAGAGAACAGAAGACATGCAACTTCATATCATATATGTACATTTTCTAAGCTATAAATGCTAAAATAATTTGATTAAATATTGTTATTTACAATAAATTATTTCACGAAGAATGATTTAATACCATATTTAGATGAACAGAATATTTTAATGATGAATACCTGTACTCGGGATGAGCCAGCCTGTAACATGCCAATTGCGCGAGCGCGTTCTGCATTGTTCATAGCGGCATTTCAGCAGTTCTATCACTAAAATGTTTTTTTGGTATGATTTTTGCTATCGAATACTGATTTGATAAGAAAAATCGATTTTGAGCACTGAATTCACAAAATCTCGTGCATAATTATAAAACTACACATGAAAGCACGTGCAAATTGGAATATCGTCACGGTCGATGATTTTCATGATTTTTAAAAAGCATTGGCCATGTAATTAATTAATGCAAATAATAAAGTCCATACCTTTTACCATTATTGAATAATTTTAATTTAAAAAAGGTCTAGTTAGAACATCCTTTCAGTGTAGATGACCTGACATACCAAATATCAAAGCACTAGGTCTTGTGAATTTTGAGAAGAAGAATTTTTATGATTTTCATAAATACCTCTAAGTAAAACTAAATAGGCCCTTAGTGGGGCCCCTTTTGATCCCAGGGTCATAATTTGAACAATTGATCATACAGAGGACCACTAGATGATGTTATATACCATATATCAAAGCTCTAGGCCTTGTGATTTTTAACAAGAACATTTTTTACGATTTTCCTATATAACTCTATTTAAAACTGATGAACCCACTGGCGGAGCCCCTATTGACCCTAGGGGCATAATGTGAACAATCTTTGTAGAGGACCCCTAGATGATGTTACATACCAAATATGAAAGCCCTATGCCTTGTGGTTTTTGACATGAAGATTGCAAAAGATTTCCCTAAATAACTATATAAAACCGGCTCCTCCTAGGCGTATAATTTGAAAAATCTTTGTAGAAGACCACTAGATGATGGCTTTTATTTGAACACACTTGGTAGACACCCACTAGAAAATGTTTCATGCTTAACAACTAAGCTCTAGTTATTTGGGCTTTTCAAAAGAAGATTTTTTTGGATTTTTTTATCAATATACATGTAAGAAAAACGAAGATAAGATTTTCATAAATACCTCTAAGTAAACTAAATACGCCACTGGTGGGGCCCTTTTGATCCCAGGGGCATAATTCGAACAATCAATCAAACAGAGGATCACTAGATGATGTTATATACCAAACATCAAAGCTCTATTTGGACGAGAAGATTTCTTAAGATTTCTCTAAATAACTCTAGATAAGGCCCCTTTTGACCCTAGGCGTATCATTTGAACAATCTTTGTAGAGGACCACTAGATGATGTTACATACCAAATATGTAATTCCATAAGCCACCTGGGGGGGGGGGGCTTTTGACCCTAAGGGGCATAATTTAAACAATCTTTGTATTGGATTACAAGATGATGTGACATACAAAATATCAAAGCTCTAGGCCTTGTGTTTTTTGACAAGAACATTTTTTAAGATTTTCCTATATAACTTTATTTAAAGCTGATGAACCCTCTTGCAGAGCCCCTTTTGACCCTAGAGGACCACTTGATGATGTTATATACCAAATATGAAAGCCCTACACTTTGTGGTTTTTGACATGAAGATTTTTAAAGATTTTCCTATATAACTCTAAGTAAAATTAATGAGCTCCCTGGGTCCTCTTTTGACCCTAGGGGCATAATTTGAACAATCTTTGAAGAGAACGACTAGATCATGTTACATACCAAATATCAAAGCTCAAAGATTTTTTTTTTTAATATACACATAAGAAAAATCAAAAACGCCCTGGGGCAGGGCCAATTTTAACTGCATGGATTTTATTTGAACTTGGTAGACACCCACTAGAATATGTTTCATACTTTATACCTAAGCTCTAGCTATTTCTGTTTTTCAAAGCAGATTTTTTTTCAATATACATATAAGGAAAATCAATGACTCCCAGGGCGAGGCCAATTTTGACCACAGGGCTTTTATTTAGACACACTTGGTAGACACCCACTAGAAAATGTTTCATGCTTTATATCTAAGCTCTAGCTCTTTGGATTTTTATAAAAGATGAATTTTTTGTTTTTACGATATACAGTGCACTCAGGATACAACGAGATCGTCGGGACTTCGGATGATTCCTCGTTATAACCGGGTCTCGTTATAACCGGGACAGAACAAATTGAGAAATCCGACACTGTCGAGCATCATTTATTTCTACTTTCGCTTTCGCGTGCATCCTTTTTGAAGAGTATACAATGGGAGGTAACTCTTTGCAATCAGAAGTTTTTGTTTTATTTAAATATACATGTATATAAATATATCTAGCTATCATAGATATTAAACAAAACATGAAAACACAACCTACGTTTAACCCCGTGTGTTTTTTCAATAATATGTACATTTTAAAATTCATTTTCAAAAGTCACACAGTGCATTTCTCACAAACACCGAATAACACCGCAAAGCCCCTTCCTTTGTGGTAATCACTCAATGAAATTGTTTTGTTATGACATTTCGTCACCTTAAGGACAATTTAGTCCGGAGCGCTGACAAAACAAGGCTGACACATTTGATCGCTAATGGCTCGACTAATTATCTCGTCACACGCCAATAATTTCTTCCTTAATTGACCTTTATTATTGGTCATCATTGTTTTTCTCAAGGTGACAAACTGATGCAGACGAAGTGCAAATGAAGAGAACTCGTTAAAATTCTGAAAAATACGCATCGGACGGCGAAATTATGTAGGTTGTAACCGATATCTCGCTAAAACCGATCTCGTTATAAACGATAAAAAATGAATTGAGAAAATAGAAGGAAAAAGGCTGGAACACAGTAGAATGTACGTTGTAAGCGGTATCTCGTTAAAACCGATCTCGTTATAAGTGGAGTAGACTGTACATATAATGAAAATCAATGACCTCCTGGGGTGGGGCCAATTTTGACCCCAGGGCTTTGATTAAAAGCTTGGTAGACACTCACTAGAAGATGTTTTATGCTTAATATCTTAGCTCTAGCTCCTTAGATTCCTTAAAAGATGATTTTTTTAAGTTTTGACAAAATACATGTAAGTAAAATCAATGACACCCCAGGGGCAGGGCCAATTTTGACCCCAGGGCTTTTATTTGAACAAACTTGGTAGACACTCACTTAAAGATGTTTCATGCTAAATATCTAAAGCTATAGCTATTTGGGTTTTTTTCAAAGAAGACTTTTTCAAGTTTTTCCTATTTACATATAAGGAAAATGAATTTATCCCAAGAGCGGGGCCAATTTCAACCAGAGGGCTTTAATTTGAACAAACTTGGTAGACACTCACTAAAAGGTGTTTCATACCAAATATCTAAGCTCCAGCTCTTTGGGTTTTTTTTAAAAGAAGATTCTTTAAGTTTTTCCTTTTGGTTGCCATGGCAACTAGAATTCTCCATGGAATTAAAATTATTTGAACAATTTTTAAAGGTGACCACCAAAGGAACATTCCTATGAAGTTTGGATGAAATTGGCATAGCAGTTTATGAGGAGATGTTGTTTCAAGTAAAAGTTTACCAATGGACGCCAGACGGACGCTAGACGAATTGTGGTTACAAAACTAACCTTGTCAATTTGTGACAGATGCGCTAATAACACACACACGCATGCACACACGCACACACACAATAAATTGCTATATGAATTAAAAATACCCGCTTCTGAGGCATTATGAGGAATTATGGCCATAGAGTAACATATAGTTTGTTTAAGAGGTGGATGGAGAGCAGAAAAAAGTAGCTGTTTTTTCTCAGTAAAATTTGTTCTTCCAATGACACTAAAAGTATTTATCCATATTATAATAATTACGTTTATTTAAAAATTGCTTCCATTAGTACTTTAAGTAGTTTGATTTTCTTTTCTTCTCCATGTTTTTTTTTCCCTGCTTTCTGCTGTCACTTTTGATAGATGTAACCTGTAAGCGCATACTGACTAGACTAGACTGTGTCTCGCATGGATTATTGTCTAAGACAAAGACTGTGATGTTGTAGAAACACGATGCCTGCAACATGTTTAATTTAACGGTCATAAGATGTTGTGGCAGAAGGATGACATCAACATTTAATTTTGTAGACAATGACACGTTTATAAAATGGCCCTCTTATGCTCAGATCTTATAAATTGTGTATTAAAAAGATACCTATCAGCATCAGGACAGCATTTGCTGCAAATCTTACACCATATGGAACTTTGAGTAGGAATGCTCCATTCACAGCTAAAACAAGAATATGTTTGTTAAACACAAATGCCCCCCCGGCTCCGATTCTTGTCAGTAGCAATATTTCAAAAAATATTTACCTATTCAATCAGTTATGGACAAAACATTGCCAAAAAATTGTAAACACAAGATATATAGATTGACAGAGTCATGGCATTTTGTAATTGTGAAATATATAAGTTGCCAAGTCATTGCTATGACTTGTGAAGTGATAAATATTCAACTTTATCGCATAATTATATATAATGTAAGAAATCTATACTTGGCACCCTTGACCTTGTTCCACTGACACCTATAGAATATCATGCAAATTAATTTCCTACCAAATATGAAATACACCTGTCAATAAATAAAGGCTGTATGGGCAAAAATGTTAAATCTATTTTGAGCATTGATGACCTTGATCAATCTGACCCCTAACTCCATCCAAAGGAAGAATACCATGCAAGTTATCTTCCAACCAAATATGAAATAAATCTGACAATAAATAAAAGGCTGTATGGGCAAAAGTGTAAAAATCTATTTTTAGAACTTGTGACCTTCACCGAACTGACCCCTAACTCCATCCAAAGTAAGAATAACATGCAAGTTATCTTCCTACCAAATCTGAAATATATCTGTCAATAAATAAAGGCTGTATGGGCAAAAGTGTAAAAAAAATCTATTTTTAGCACTAGTGACCTTGACACACTGATCCCTAACTCAATCAAAAGGAAGAATACCATGCAAGTTATCTTCCTATCAAATATGAAATACACCTGTCAATAAATAAAGCCTGTATGGGCAAAAGTGTAAAAATCTATTTTTAGCACAAGTGACATTGACCCACTGATCCCTACCCCAATCAAAAGGATGAATACCATGCAAGTTATCTTCCTACCAAATATGAAATATATCTGTCAATAAATAAAGGCTGTATGAGCAAAAGTGTAAAAATCTATTTTTAGCACTGGTGACCTTGACCCAACTGACCACTAACTCCATCAAATTTTATGTTCCTATCAATTATAAATGACATCTGTCTATAGAATATGGTTAATACACCTGTAAAAATGTAAAAATCTATTTTTAACATTGGTGACCTTGACATTGGTGACATTGACCTTGACCCAAATGACCCCTTACTATACCCAAAGAAGGAGGACCTCCCTTGGCATGTTTGTATTAAACATGAAAGACATCAACCAAAAAATAAAGGCTGTATGAGCAAAAATGTTTAAATTTATTTTCTAAACCAGTGACCTTGACCTTGACCCTAGAGACCACTTACTCCACAAAAAATTAGAGGACCATTAAAGGTATCCACCTACCAAATATGCAAGATATCATAAAATAAATTAAGCAATAAAGAGAAATTTACGATAAATCCAACTTGCCGGAATAGGTTAACCAGACAAGGCCCTATTTTCAAAGTGAAATAACTGGGAAATATAGATGACACAGTTATATAACTTTGCAATATCATGTACTTTGTATTGATAAGTAAGTGTGGAAATTATGAAGCCATTAGTATAGATAGAACTTAAGATATTTCCAACTTGCCGTTTTAGGTTAACCATTATTCATTTTCTAAGTGCTGAAAAGGGCAATAACTTGGTAAATATGGAAGCCATAGTTATGTAACTTGACCAGATCATGTACTTTGTATTGATTAGTAAGTGTGTAAACTAAGAAGCCATTGGTACAGGTAGAACTTAAGAAAAATCCAACTTGCCGTTCTAGGTTAACCTCCTACGGACAGACGACAAGACGGACGGACGGTTCAATTACTATATGCCTGGGGGCATAATAAAAACTATTTAAATGAATATACTAGTACATGAATATACAACAGATTTTTAGCTTGAAGGAAAGATGATTTCAGCCAACAAAAATATTATATGTCTGACAGTTGAAATCATTAAGTTACATGAATGATTTCCAATATGATTCAATTTGAATTAAGTGATAGTACAGTATTTTCAGTAAAATATCCACAAATAAACCAACATTCAGACATAAATGACAGTTTTAATTAACTCAAAGATGATTATTATAAAATTGTTTACTTATGTAAGCTCCTCCTCACCCTAATGTCCAACAACACTTATATAAAGGTTTTCGTAAATTCTCTTAGGTAAGTAATACACTACAATACTGTATTGTTTCAAATTGTCAAATGACAAAATAATCTTACATTTCACAATAGCAGAAAGAGCTACATTTGCTCCAAACACGAGTCCAATCAAATTTTTCTTTCCAAAACTGAAATAAATGAATACATGTTCATAGCAAACATTTTGAATAATTCAATGTAATGTAAGAATAGCAAATATTTCTTCTATGAAATTTATTATATTACCGGTAATGATTATGGTAATTTATACAATGGAATCATTATCAATATACAAAAGAATTATTATAATTTTGCCTAAAAGATATGAAATGTTCATACAGATGTAATAGAAGTACACATTGCAGCTCTATAATATTGCAAGTAATTAGTCGCCGGTAGAAACCTGCGACTATATTTGTAACAGTTTAATATTATACCTATGGTAGGAGAAGGCCTTAAAATCTGTAAATAAAAGCATATCAATTACTGAACAATTAAAGACTACAATTGTTTTCAGTAATCTCAAAAATTCAAACATACAATAACGTTGCTCAATGAAATGAAATATTCAAATATTGACATCTTAAAAAACAACATTACAATTTTTATACAAGAGCCACCGCTGGGCGGGGGCAACACTCGACTTTTCACTTTCTCTTAAAGCAAACGAAGAAATGTTTGAACAAAATCTTTAAATATACTAATTTATATATATATATATAAATAGAAACACGCAATTCTATAAATAGAAAATTCTATAAATAGATACACGTGGTGTCACGTGGTGTTGACATGTGGTGGTGTTGACATGTGGTGTTGACATGTGGTGTCATGTGGTAACACATGGTTTAATGTGATGGTGACATGTAGTGTCATGTGGTGGTGCCACGTGGTGACATGTGGTGGTGGCATGTGGTGGTGGTGACATGTGGTGTCATGTGGTGGAGTTATGTGGTGTCACGTGGTGGTGACAAGTGGTGTCACGTGGTTGAGTCACATGGTGGTATCATGTGGTGTCACATGTTGGTGTCGCATGGCCGTGGTGTCATGTTGTGTCATGTGGTGGTGTCATGTGGTGTCATATGGTGGTATCATGTGGTGTCGCCACATGGTCGTGGTGTCATGTGGTGATAACATGTGGTGGTGTCATGTGGTTGTGTCACATGGTATCATGTGGTGGTGACATGTGGTGGTGTCACGTGGTGGTGACACGTGCTGGTGACATGCGGTGGTGACATGTGGTGGTGGTGACATGTGATAACACGTGGTGTCGTGTGGTGGTGTTACATGGTGGTGACACATGGTCACACGGTGGTGTCATGTTGTGGTGACATGTGGTGTCATTTGGTGATGTCACGTGGTGGTGACATGTGGTGTAATGTGGTGGTGTCACATGGTGTCATGTGGTGGTGGCATGTGGTGATATGTGGTGTCATGTGGTGGTGTCGCATGATGGTGACATGTGGTGACACATGGTGTCATGTGGTGGTGTCACGTGGTGGTGACATTTGGTGGTGGTGACACATGGTGGTGGTGACACGTGGTGGTGGTGACATGTGTTGTTGTTGTTGTTGTTGATTATGATGATCAGTGTCTATTCTAGGAATTGAAAAATAGGGGTGATTTTCCCCCCTCTATTTCAAAAAAAGGGGCGATTTTCAAAATCAAAGGGTGCCAATATAAACTGCCAATGTTAAATTGTCTGCATTAAGTTTACACAGAGGCGTTCAACCGATGAAATAATTAAAACGATAATATTTATTTAAGGCAGCAGAAGTTGTCCCCCCTGAATTTTTAAACGAAAACAAATTATTACAGAACTGCCGCGATTGATTATAAAGGGATTGGCAATACAAATAATCGAACTATCTTTCACGTCTAGATCGTAGCCAAGCTAGGAATTGCCTCATTTTTCTTGATTATTTACTACACTTAAATGGCGCCCAACTGTCAGACCTAGCACACTAGTTCCGGTCGATACGGAACATTCCGTTAATTTCCGTCAACTCACGTAACCAGTACCATACGGTACTAAATTATTATAATTAGCTTACAGTTACCTCCCTTCGGTTTTCGGTGTAAATGTAAACAAAACAACCAAATATAATGCGGGATGGAAGTTTTACGGTTTTATTAACTTTTTTTATAGATGCGCGATTTTCACGCACATGATTTTGAATTGTGCGCGATCTGTTAAATACTAGCGTGAATCGCGCAATCGCGCGTCCTAGAATAGACACTGGATGATGATGATGATGATGATATATATACACCAATAAATATATATGGTCATTTAATGCACAAATCTGAGAAAATTCAGTAATTTAACCTTCAAGGTCAAGGTCATTAAAGAGCCTAAATGTTTGATAAACAACAAGGTCTTGACCTTAAGTATGTTCTGTTATAATATGAAGTTCATCCCTTCAATAATAGCAAAGTTACAGCCAGTTACAGCCAAAACAATGAAAATTTCAATAATTTGAACTTCAAAGTCAAGGTCATTAATGAGTGAAGGTCAAGGTCTGTCTGGGGATTTTTAAGGGTTATCCTTGAAGATTATTATGTTCAAGTTTGAAGACAATCCATTTAAAAATAACAAAGTTACAGCCAATAACAGCATGAACAAGCAAAATTTGGACTTTTAACCTTGAAGGTCAAGGTCATTCAAACTAGAAGTAAACTAGAACTATCACTGAATGCGATTCATACCCCCACCAATGTCCTTGACAGAAGACGACTTGGAAAGGTGGTTAAGGGAATAACTTAAGTGGCACAAATACATAAAAAGAAATTATCTCTGGTGAAAAAAAGACTAATTGTACAGGTAATAGTATAAATATATATTATCAAATCATGTTCGTAACAGTTACAAATAACCTTTCATTTTCCCAATGTACTAAACATTTTATAAGTCAATTTTTGACCTTCAAGTGTGGCCTTGACCTTAAGATGGGTTTTGCACATCACCCAGTTGGGGTGAACATTTGAGTAAAGTTTGAAGAAAATCCTTCCATTAGTATAGAATTTATAAAGCAGACACAACATATTGTCTAGTAACAATTTTATGTAAATTTAAAGACTTATAAAAGGGGCATAACTTTGTCAAAATGCAATACAGAGTTATGAAACTTGACCTGCATATCTTATTTGTGACAACTCATTTATCTTTCAAGTTTCAAGTAATACCTGAGCTAGTTTAAGAAATATTCAAGTACATGTTAAAATTTAAGAACATTTTCTAAGTCAATTTTTGACCTTCAAGTGTGACCGTGACCTTTAGCCGTCACATACATGATATGGATTCTGCACATAACCTTGTTGAGGTGAACATTTGAGTAAAGTTTGAAGAAAATTCTTCCATTAGTATAGGATTTATAGAGCGGACACAACATATTGTCTAATATTTGATTGTATGTAAATTTGAAGACTTAAAAAGGGGCATAACTTTGTTAAAATGCAAAACAGAATTATAAAACTTGACCAGCATATCTTAATTGTGACACTTTATATATATTTTAAGTTTCAAGCAAACACCTTTTCTAGATTCAGAAATATTCAAATAAATGTTAAAATTTAAGAATATTTTCTAAGTCAATTTTTGACCTTCAAGTGTGACCTTGACCTTAAGCCAGCAAAAGGGTGCCATGGGTTCTGCACATCCCCTTGTTGAGGTGAACATTTGAGCCAAGTTTGAAGAAAATCCTTCAATTAGTGTAGGACTTACAGAGCGGACACGACATAATGTCTTATATTTGATTGTTTGATATTTGACCTTCAATTGTGACCTTGACCTTGAGCTGACACATTGGCAACATGGATTCTGCACATCCCCTTGTTGAGGTGGACATTTGAGCAAAGTTTGAAGAAAATCCTTCAATTAGTGTAGGACTTACAGAGCGGACACGACATAATGTCTAATATTTGATTGTTTGATATTTGACCTTCAATTGTGACCTTGACCTTGAGCTGACACATGGGCAACATGGATTCTGCACATCCCCTTGTTGAGGTGGACATTTGAGCAAAGTTTGAAGAAAATCTTTAAATAAGTGTAGGACTTACAGAGCGGACACGACATACTGTCTAATATATTTGATTGTTTGATATTTGACTTTCAATTGTGACCTTGACCTTAAGCTGACACATGGGCAACATGGGTTCTGCACATCCCCTTGTTAAGGTGAACATTTGAGCCAAGTTTTTGGAGAAAATCCTTCAATTGGTATAGGAGTTATAGAGCAGACACGAAAATGGAGACGGACTTACCGACCGACCAACTGACCGACCGACGCGACAAAGCGAATCCATTATAGCGCCCCCCCCCCACCTTTTGTGGTGGGGGTATAAATATCAAGAACAAGTTTAATTTATTTGTTTGCATTGCTGATTTAATTTTAACCAAAAAAAAGTAAATAAAAATACACAAGTTGCTCCAAGTCGATGACAGGATGTGTGTTATATCCAACTTTACTTTATACTCAATTTATACTGTTCTGTCAGACTCCTTTCCAACCTGTGTGTATTGAATTTTGTTTTTAAGTCTTGACAATTGTCACATCAAAGGCACTCACCGCATGCAGTGATCATGCAGTTCAGAACACTGATTGGCTCAAAGAACTGTCAGATGAAATAGTCACTTTGGTACATGTTTCACCTAAGGACTTTTTTTGAGTTGATGTCGGTAAATTATGCGTGGCCTAGATTGACCTTAGAGAACTTTAAATAGTTCCCCATTCTTTTCAGCTGTGAGTTACCAAAAAGGATTTTAATCATTAAAGTATGATTTTTTTTTATTCTGTTTATTAATCATACCTTTAAACTTTGCTCTAGGGAGAAAAATAATTAAATTTACAACAGAACTTTCCAGACTATAATTGTGAATTTTTGTAAAAAAATTGTTGAGAAAAAATTACTGTTGCTGAATTTCTGCACCAAAAACAAACTTAAGAAACACTGGATAATGCATGAACATTTAAACACAGGAAATTGACATTCTATCAGCAAATAATTAAAAATAACGGCAAATGTACATTTGCCGTAAGCAATAGTATAGAGGGGTACATTTGCCGTTATTTTTTAATTATTTGCTAAATATATTTTTCAATTATTGATAGAATGTCAGAATCTCCTGTGATTTAAATAAACTAGA